ATATATATGTGTGTGTACAGAGAGAAAGAGAGCATTTTGTTTGTCTGTCGTTAAGCTCAAAGCTATACAATTTTTAGCATTATAATCCTTCACAGTTACTAATGAGCCACAGAGGATAAGAGATTTACACATGTGATGATGGTTTTTGTGATGGCTCATCCCCAGTGAATTCTTTACACGAACATTTATAATCCAAATAAACTTTCAAAGTGAAACTTCATCTCACGATATAAAGACACTAGATAAAAAGCATAACTGACACCGATTTAAAAATTTCAATTAATATTTTAAACCAACAAAAGGCAAAATTTATCATATTTTTACGTAAACACAAACGTTTTTGGCACCTTCAGTTCTATTGTTCAGTTTATATACATAGATTCAGATTTAATCACGTAACAAGAAACGTCCAAATACTTTCATATGACATAGATTATTGTAACACTAATAAACAGGTGTTGTTCGATGAATGTCACTAGCATATAATTTGATACTAACGCTGTTGCTTAGAAACGAGATCTCTGAAATGCAAAGTTCTCTTCATCTTTAAGTCAAGTATCACTGAACGTCGCTTCTCATACACTCACTTGAATTTGTTCAAAATATAAGTATCAGCCATACTCTTTTTGTTAGATTACGTGTTTTCAAGGCAGTAAGGAGCCTTCTGATGTTTCTCGATGTGTCAAAAGAGAGTTTGACGTCTCTCCAAATGTCAGAGGAAAGTTTGATGTTTCTCCAGGTGTCAGAGGATAGTTTGTTGTTTCTCCAGGTGTCAGAGGAAAGTTTGATGTTTCTCAAGGTGTCAGAGGATAGTTTGATGTTTCTCCAGGTGTCAGAGGAAAGTTTGATGTTTCTCCATGTGTCAAAAGAGAGTTTGATGTTTCTCCAGGTGTCAGAGGATAGTTTGTTGTTTCTCCAAGTTACTCCAACTGTCAAAAGAGAGTTTGATGTTTCTCCAGTTGTAAAAAGAGAGTTTGATGTCTCTCCAAGTGTCAGAGGATAGTTTGTTGTTTCTCAAGGTGTCAGAGGATAGTTTGATGTTTCTCCAGGTGTCAGAGGAAAGTTTGATGTTTCTTTAGGTGTCAAAAGAGAGTTTGATGTTTCTCCAGGTGTCAGAGGATAGTTTGATGTTTCTCCAGGTGTCAAAAGAGAGTTTGATGTCTCTCCAGGTGTCAGAGGATAGTTTGATGTTTCTCCAAGTTACTCTAGGTGTCAAAAAAAGAGTTTGATGTTTCTCCAAG